AAATAAAGGACTCATTGACTGAAAAAAAAAGAACTGGCTTTTGGGTATGATGCTTATCTGCATCAGTACCATAAATGCATTTTACTTTGAAAAACTCCCCAGAGGGTTCATGAGGCTTGTTTGTTTGCTTTTTACTATAAATCCGGTTGGGCTCAAGGCTTCCCATTAAGACACTGCTATGAATACAGCCTTCTAGTGGAATTATTGAAAAAGCTTTTCAAGTAATATTACAAATAAAATTATAATTGAATTATTAGTTATTTAAGCTAACCCAGATATTGGTGGAGATTAAACTAATACATTTTACTTTTTCTTCCCTCTTATTGTTTTCTGTATCATTTTGTGTTTGTGTATACATTTTGTAAACATTTTTTGATGCATCTGGAAATGTTAGGCTCCATGAACCAGTGGAACCAGCAACCCAGAGATGAATAAGAGTTTCTTTTTTTTTTTTTCTTCTTAAATTATGTAGCAGAGGCTTTTGGCTGGGGGGCGTGAAACTCTTCATTGCAGGGTGGTGGAGTTCAAGCCTGGGGCTTAAAAATTTTGAATAGGATATGAGCTAAAGCTTAGTTTTGATATTCAGATACTAACTGGTTCAGAATGTACCCCATAAAAATAAAACTGACATCTGAGATAAGTCTGTATGTGTTTAATAAGTAGAGTTTATTTTCTTTTGGGAAGACAAATTTACAGAATGTTCCTAGTATTTAGCTGAAAATACTTGCCCCAAATAAATCTGTTATTCGTGTTTTGGAACTGCAGAAGTAAAATAAACCAGAATGAAAAGAAATTGTTGGATTTATTCCAAGAAATTTACAAATGTTTGGGGGAAAAAAAAATGCAACAAGAATTAAGCAAGGATTATGAGAATGTAATGAATGCAGCTAGTTGGATAATTTAATAAATTTCTAGTCTAACAAAAGACTGGAATGTTCTCTTTTCATCACTTTTATTAACGTGACTGATCTTTATTCATTCATATAATGCTGCCTCTTTTTCTGTTACTGAAATAACTTGTGTGGTGCAATAACTATTGCATTGATAGGATATGTTAGCCTGTGAGCAAGAACTGAAAACCTAAGACAAAACCACAGGAGATGAGTACTAAAACTAGCATGAAGCTAACGTAGTTTTCTATTTGAACCCTTGGTTCATCTCCTGAAATTGTGCGGAAGAACAAAGCGAGATCAAATCCATCTGTTTTTGCAACAAAACATTGATGCTATGCAGATGCAGTCCTGTTGTCCACTGAAGCATCTCTTTGTGCACAGACATTGGGCCAGATGTGACATTTAGAGGGGGAGATGGGCACATCTTAACAGCAGTAACTTTGGCAATGGACAGCAAGTTTAATGCAAACTTAAAACACAAATTGATCAGTGAGGACACTTATGCCAAGCTCTTGAGAGAATAATTATTTTAATAGGGATATTTATCAACACTTATCTTATTTATCAAAGTGCATGTACAAAACAAGGTATTTAAAATTGAAGTGAAATAGATGAACAGAACCATTTATGTCTGTAATTTAGTGTTTTCATTTTTATTTTTTAATGAAAATAGGCCTGTCCTGGAAGTATTTCTAGCACTGAACTTCTCAGAGAACCTTAGGCTGTCATGTGTCTGCTTCTCAAGTCTCTGAGGTCAGTGCTTTAGCTCTGGCATTTGGGACATGTCAAGTGCAGAGTCCCAGGGTTCCTCAGAGCACCATGCAAGCATACAGGCAGGGCTGTGAACTGAGAAGGGGCATCTCCTATTTGTCTCCTGTTCAAGTAAGATAGGCTAATAGCTGTGGCTTTCATGTGTCCCAAGAGCAGGGAGGTGAACTGCTTTTGAACAGCTCTCTGGTACCTCTCCTCCAGCCAGGGACTGGTACAGTCAGCCAGTGCAAATAGCTTATAAACAGCACAGTTTCACAGTAACTGAGCTCATGTTCTACATCAGTGTAACAGGCACTAATATTTTCCAGAGGATCTGTTGTTTTGAAATAATTTTGTATGTATTTGAGCCCCCTATTTCTCAGAAGGCTGTAGAGATTAATTGTCAGTAATTTACTCTGGAGACAGAGATGAGAAGCTGATTTTGAATGTTAAAAAAGGGTTTACAGTTTGCACAGGTTTATTTCAGGAAGGATGATTTATGATAGATGCAAGATTATATTTCTATGATCCCATGTTTCAGTCTCAGATGATGTAGCTGCCGAATATGTTTCAGTCTGTGTAAACTATAACATGGCTGCAGATGCTGCACCAGTACTGTTCTGACAGGTTTTGGGGACTCTTCAGAAGAAAACAGTATTGCAAGTGGAGAACAGTGTTACTCTTCAGTTATAAATAATACTTGGAGTATGTTGTCACAACATTTCCACAAATTGTTCTAATATTTTTTCAACTATTCTTTGCTTCCACCAAAACATGTTAGAAGCTGAATGTACAGAAATGAGGAAAAATTAATTCAACAGGACTTTTTAATGTCACCAAATTATTATTATTTTGTTGTTGTTGTTCTTCTTCTTCTTAAGTACTTTGCCTATGTATCTCAGTGTCAGTCCAAGTCAGTGAGCAGAGAAGGCAGGGAAATGTCACTTTATTTCCTTAAAGTGTGAGTTTTTCAGGAATACTTTAAATCCTGGCCAATCTAGAGACCCAGTATGTAGAAATAAATCTGGTTCTTTAGGAACCAGATTTACCAGGTCATGTGTAACAGCTAACCAGCAAATAACCAAGAACCTGTCTGTTTTCACTGTGATTTCTTAGCAGCTGGCAGTGCAGAAATAAATAAACTAGTTTCAGCCTTTGGAAAGAGAAGTTTGGGGGTTCCTTGCTTTCTCAGTGCTAGCCTGCCAGGTGGCCGTGTTTCCTTTCTCTGGCAGCTGTAGCAGCCCAGTTCTTAGAGAGACACATATGACTAGGTTGGTAGAATTAACCTGTCGCTAAGATGTAATTAACATGATCAATGAACAGCCTAAAAACCTTGGTATTCATTTGCTCCTTCCCTGATGGGATCTTAAAAGAAGTGAAAAAAACATTGGACCCTTCCAGTAGCACAAGCAGCTTTGGGGAGTGGGGGTTGCTTGGCCGCTGACAAAGTTGTAGATCACTGAAATTCTGGGGTTTGATGGAAGTGCTGTCTGTCAGTCTCAAAAATCTAATGATTGTTTGCATCTCTGAAAGGTATTGAAGTATAAAAGTGATTTGAAAAGGGATGGTAAAGAGACACCTGATGATGACAGACGGAAAGGTGACATTAAAAAAGATTGAAGGCAAAAATAGGAAAATCACTGATATGTGGTAAAGCTTACACACGCTTTTTTTTTTTTTAATAAGTTACTGTGCAAGTCATGTATTACCAACAATAACTGCAATGCTGCTTTTGCAGCAAATAAAATTACATACAGAAGGTTGGAGCAAATAAAATAAATGTGATTACTGCTTGAAGTCCTCTTCAGAGGCATTTTATTTGGCAATAGTTTAAGCATAATCTAAAGTGGTTTTCTAGTGGGTAATGTAATATTTCTGACCTAAGAGTAAGCAATATAACCAGTCATCCAAAAATAGTCTTAACAGAGGTATTAGATTATTGAAGGAATGTTCTGGGAGGCTTTCCTCCTTAAAGTGCAGTTGAATGTAATGTTTTATGATATCTTTCATTTAGACTGTCCAAACTGTCCTCTGGAGCTGACAAGACTAAAACAAAACAAACAATGGGGGGGGAGGGGAGGACACATGACAGGAAATTAAAAAAAAAAGACAGGAAAAAAAAAAAAGGCCCTGATTTTAGATGGCAGAAGGAAACAAATGGAGGGAACTGCCACACTGGCATAGCTTAAAAATAACTGGAGAAATTGAATAATGTGATGAGTTACATGGCACTGACTGAAGTCCATGGGCAGATGTTAAGGACTTATCTAGAGATTTGAGGGACTTCAAGGGATTCTGTTTCTTTTTAGGACTTCTGCCTCCACTTCTGTTTATGCTGATTTAAGAGAAATTAAAATAAATAAATAAATAAACGAAGAAAAAGATACTTCCATGATGCTGTTCCTGGAGATTGGCTAAAATAGAGTGCTAGAAGTAGAGTAAGAACTGGCTAAGGGGTCATTTCAGTAAACAATTAAGGAGAATGAAATAAAGGTTAAATTTACAAAGCTACGTAAGAGGTATCTTGCATCCAAAACACGGCTCCAATTTTATATCTTAGCAGAGATAGTCTTAGAAGGCTGAAGGAATTTTAGCAGAGCCATCAAAATTGAAATAAGCAACAAAAACTTTTTTGTTGTTTCAATATTTCACTTTTCTTTTATGCTCTGGAGGTTTGAGCACTGTGACAAAGCCTAAGTGCATAAACTGTCTAGAAAAATCACTTCATGCGTGTTCTCAACTATGGCCACAAGTTGGGTGGGATTTAACTGTAGCTTTAAGGATGTAACTAACCCTAGCAAGAGACTGATATACTTTTCTTCATTGTTTTAATCCGTTGTTTTTCTTTCCTAGCTATTGCTTATTTACAGTGAGTGATATCCAGTAATTCTAGGGACACCACTTATTTCGCCAGAGATATATCTTTTAGAAATACAGTATCAGTGTCTCTGCCAGAGCCATGAAAGCTGCTCTGTCATGTGTTTGAATTAGTATGTTAACAGGACAAGAGCCAGGGAAATATATCTTGACAGCTTTAACACTGTGTGCTGAGAAATAACATGATAAGGAAAATTAATGGTAGTTGCACATCAGCTAGTATAAATGTGACTGGTAATTTTTATTTGTATATGCTCTCTGGTTTTGAGCCATGGAAATTATGCAGAGGGTAAAGAAAAGTGACAACCTGAACAGCTGCCTATTGAAACTCTGTGCTTGAAATTATGAAATTTGTAGATTGGTTTCATCCTGTGATTTTTCTGTTCATCATTGTGACATCTGCTAAAAGCTCTCATGGTAGATATTTCTAACGCATTTTTCAAAGAGCTTTAATGATTCATTGTTTGGTCTTGTTTCCAGGGCTTTTGTTTTTTTCCTTGTGTGTGGTGATTTCATGGACTCATTACCAAAGTCCTGGGGCCAAAGTGATCCCTTGTGAATCTTCTCCAAAGTTAGCTGAGGGTAAGATTATTGATGCTAGCTAATTGTTAACATTAGGAGAAACTTTTTGCTGGTGTCATATTGCGTTGAGTTCAAATAGAACTACTGGACATCAATGTGCTTGAAATACTTATTTTGGAATCTCATTTAGGTACCTTCCTATCTATCTTGCACTTGAAGACTGCATTCATAAAGGTTTCATAGAAGATTATTTTATACATGCTTTGAATTTTCTGTTGTCTCTTCATTTGTTATTCAATATCATAATTCAATACCTTTTAAACTCCAGCAGAATTTTTTGCTTGTCAACCATACCATGCTGTTGACTAGCACTTTTTACATGAATCCTACCTTTTTGCCTAATTTGCCTGGAAAACAAACAAACAAAAATGACAAACACAAAAGAGGGATGGACTTTAATAATGGATCAGGAGTGGGGGTTTTTTTGTTTTGTTTTGTGTTGTTTTTCCTTCCTAGCTTATTGTCTTTCTGGTCTGCATGCTAATTTGTTGGTTTACAGTCAAATGTATGCAAATCTGGTTATTTAAAAGTGGGAACTTGCAGAAGAATCTTAACTGATTTGAGGATGGAAGAACAAGTTGGCTGTAACCACAACTGATCTTCACGCACTCCAAGTATGTTAGGATTTAAGTAAAGACAAGATATGCTGGTGGGGTGAGAAATGACTTGTAATAATTAAACTAAAATTAGAAGAAATTCACTTGTTCAGAAATCACATTTTTCTGACTTGCAGCTTCTGGAGTCTTAAATTAAGATGTTCCCCTGTTGTTAGGAATCTGAATTTGTTTTCTTGGCTTTAACACTTACTATAGAGATTTAGGACTATGATTTATATGTCTCTTGATGTACAGCATTGATGACATTCCAGTATTGCCACCATACAAATAGTTGTGTAGTAACACATTAAAAATGTGCTTATCTTATTGGAGAGGGAAACCCCACAAATTTATTAGTAACTAGCTTCTTGAGAGCTTAATTCATGTCCTTTTTTTTTTTTCTCCTGAACAGTTGAATATCTAGCTCTTTGTTGCTTATCCATTGCTCCCAGCACTGTTTCATTGTGCAATAAATTCTGTTCTTTTCTCGCTAGTCCAGTCTGTGACGATTACTCTCCACAAGTTTGAATGTTTATTCGTATTACTTTCCTGTCAGTAGAAAACTAATGTTTATCTAATGCTTCAGCTCTTCATGTTTATCTGCCATAGACTTTATAAGAAGCTGAAATACTGTATGCTAGTATTACCAATAGAGATTTACCTCCATACGGTTCATTGATGACTTGATTGTGTGTGAGAGCAGGGTTTTCTGCTGCCTTCATTTTGTGAAGTCACATATCACAATCATTGCAAAGCCTTGGAACATCAGAAAGAACATGGGATTTGTATGTTTAAACTTACATCACTTTTTAAATAAAGGTAATTTAACTGAAACCAGTCTTCTTAACTGGTGTCTGGTTCTGAGCAATTGAATATCACTTGGAGCATAAAAATAAATAAAGAAAGATTGCCATTCTCTGGTATTCTAGGCCAATTTTTGCAGGATTGAGGACTTTTTTCTTCTTTTTTTTTTTCTTTGATATCTCTTGATTTCAAAGAGAAAATTCTTTCAGACAGTTCTTTGCATATCTTTCTAAATGCTAATTAGCTTATTTCACATGTTTCCTTGTAATATTGTTTCCTACTTGCATCACACTAGTTCCCCAATCTCCCGTAGTCTGCTTGAATTTAAGATCAGGTCCTGCCGAGCTTTTTATTCCTTATCTTCTATTCAAGTCAGGGGCACAACTGTGCATCCCTTATCCTGTCTGAAGGACAACCATTTGGCATTGAAGATAATTTGTGTCTAGAACAGGTATTATTATGTGTTTTATAAGAAGGCAAGATTCAGATTCAACCGAAAAGGGAAGATTACAAGAAAGGGAATTCAAAAGTTAATGTCAGGTCCTCAACAGGTGGAACACTAGAATTCCATGTAATTGATAGGAGAAGGAAACTGTCAGAGTACCCAAAGACCAATGTTTTTGAAATGCATTAACCATTGGAGTTTTGATCCAAGTGTTTTGTTGTATGTTAATCAAACTCCATGTCTTCCTGGTACAATATAGTAAAGCTTAAATGACTAAAAATGTACCCTTTTTCTTCTGAAGGTGACTATATGGATAACAAAACAGTTGCAATAGTATAAAAATCCATTTGAATTTAGCTAGTGCAAATGGATATATCATGACTATTGCAGTGCTTGTAACTTAACCTTACATCCGATTTGCTGAATTTAATTTTTGATGGATCTGAGACAAATTGTCCTCAACTCTTCTGTCCAATCAGAAGGAAAATGTAAGAATAAGATGGAAAAAATGGGCAGCCCATGCCTACGTAGATCTAAAGGGAGACAACATTCTTTGATGTACATCTAGCAAAAAGGATATAGATGCTGACAGACCAACAGTTGGCTGGTTGGAATTACCTTAAAACTATCCTTTCAAGGGGAGGTGCAAACTAGGACAGCTCTGTCATTTACCCTTGTGCTTTATTCTTGGGGCTCTATAAAGTCAGATTTTACTGGACTCATTTGGCAAACAGGAGTTGAGAATTTCTGCCATGGTACAAGATGTTTTTGCAGGGAGAAAGAATGTGGTGTTTCTTTTTTTTCTTTCTCAGGCCACCCTAACACCAGTTTTTGAGAAGGACTGGGCAGTTCTGTCACTAGGAAGGCAATAGTTCTCTTCAGTTTTTGTCTTTTTTTTTTTTCCCGTCCCTCGGAGTGATGATGAGTTTAACTACTTTGTAGCAGAACTGAAAGATTCATGGCCACTAGGAGCTGGTGTCACTCTTTCTGCTCCAATGAAAGTTTAAACAGCAGTTAAATTATGCTATTAATAGATGTGCTTCCTCCATACAAATATTTGAATTAAGTTCAGCAGCAAGTATTATGGCTCACCAGCCAGTAAAAGCTGTTCTCATATGTAAAGAAATATTGAACCAGGGCAGATGGAGTAATCTTAATGGATTTTCATGGCATTTGGTTTGTGCTTTTTTTCCATAGTTGCATATTAAAATCTGGGGCAGTTACTTCTCCCTCTCCTTACTCCTATTTATTCACCAAGGGTTTTTCAGTGCTTAAATGGGACTACTACTTGTTAGAATTACTGTCTTTGTTAGTAGCTTGTATTATTTATTTCTATTCATCAGAAATGAATTTTTACTAATTGGGTAATATACTTTCAACTCTGTTAAACTTACTAGCAGGTATATGATATATATTTTATTGTTATATATTTCTGAAGCCTGAAGAACAGGAGTTTATTGTTACCATTGTGAAGCTGTTCTTGCTTTTGTGTTACTTAATATAATTTATGTACATATCATGAAGTAATAATCTTGTTACATAAGTGGGGGCACGAGGAATAAAAGTTTTAACCTGCAGAGTGTGGGTACAGCTTCAGAAATTGAGAAATTCAGAAATTTCTCACCCCTCTGGAAAGGGGTGCCTGTTGTTTTTGTCAAGTTAGCTAAACTTACTTAGCTTTGAATGAAATTCACCTTTTTCTGTTTTCATTGCTCTTCCAAGTTCCTTGAGTGGTTGCGCTGAGCACTGAATATATAGACCGAAGGTTATTAAAAGAGAGATTATCAGCAGAGTGTATTTTTTGCTGTGTAGTGCAATGCAAAGTCCATGGCTGTTTGAAATTTGGCGTTTACATTCTCTAATAAATACTTCTAAAATAGTTAATTTAGACTCTGAGATTAATTGGGTTTAAATAAGAAAGAAGTCCTTCAGCACAGGTAAAGAAGAATAACATAATTTATTGATCATATTTCTGCAACAGGTTCTGAAATGGCATATATCTGAAAGCAAAAAACTTGTGAAAATACCTCACTGGCAGTTATGTCATTCCTGGAGGCATTCTTTTATAGAGAGATGAGTAACTATCATATCATTTATCTATGCATTAGCATACCTATGCTAATTATGGGGTGGTATTTCACATCATGATACAGTTTGGAACAAGTCCTCTTTGAGTTCTTATTCTCAACCCAGGATTCCTCTGGAGCTGTCATCTCAAATGTTTGATATGGTCCACTCATTTCTTTGGGAAGTAAGTTCTGGAGGCACAAATAGGATATTGTCTTGGAGTCCCTTATTAGACAGTGGTAGCAAGGAAGAGATGCTTATTTTAAGGAAGTGATTATTTCCAGAAAAGTAATTACAATTATTTTTGGTAAGGTGATGGAAAGAGCTACTTAGGGTTAGTCATTTACAACGAGCAAGTAAAATGAATAGTGTTTTAGTTGCATAGTTTTTTGTACGTATGTTAATGCAATTGTTAACATAGCATCTGTGTGCCTGATAAGAGGTGATAAATCTGTCACTTTTGGAAGGCAGTTGCCTCTTTGTTGCTGTGGTTTTCATGTTTGTTTTCCTTTATGCTATTCTTTTACAAATGTATTTTTATATAGGTGAAAGTAAAACTTATTCTCACCCGTAGTAACTTGCTTAATGATGATGCCATACTATTGTTTTTATTTGTCACCGTAAGGACAGAGTAAAGTTGCTCCAGGTAAAAGTGGAATTTCAATTAACCTTTCCAACAAAAATCACTATTTTTTCTTGGTGATGTTTTCCAGTAAGAAAAATGCTTTTGTTGGAGGGTAGTACTCTATAAAAATTCAGAGTTCTTGGAATATAGTGGAAGCATAAAAGCCAGCAAACTAAATGCTAATAAGCAAGTAACATTCTGAGGAGTCTTCTTGAGCAGCATTAGATGCTAACCTTAGGAAAATTACTTTTCTTTTTTTTAGCACCTAGCTACAAATTAACGTGGAAGTATCAAAAGTGGAAAAAAAAAATCCTTTCACAGCATGTTTTAGAATCCCAGTGACAAGAAATCATCTACTTATTTTTAAGTACCCTTGCTTGATTTTTCCCAAATTAATAACTTTGATTTTCATTTTGTTTTCACTTTTGTCCTCTATAAAAAGGATTTATTCTCTTTTAAAACA